GGAGCGTTATTCTCCTCCCCCAAACCAAAAAAATCATTTTTGTTTTCAGAGGATTACACATATACCAGCAATATTTACTGGTATTTATCAATGCATTATTTATTTAGCAATAACTATGGGGCCCTATTGATTACAGTTCTTATTTTTTGTTATACTTGTGCTTTCTTGTTTCAACTCCACTTTCTTACCTTTAAGCAGGCAGTCTGGGATGGCGAGGTGACTCTTTTGCTCTATTTGTCATTAGCTTTCCAGATGATATGCGAGGTGTCTCCTTTATTCTGTCCATCAAGCTGTAGCTACTTATGTAAGTGGTACTACACCTGCAGCTCGTGGGCTGGATCCAGTCTGTGGAGCCATGTCATTGGCCCATGGAACTTCTCACAAGCCTGGAAACTTGGCAGTGGTGGAGTGGTAGGTAGCAACATTATTTGCTTCCAGAGTTGTGTCAATTAATGCTACCAGGATACCCCCACTGCCAAATTTCCAGATTGCCCCAGTGCACTAGGTTGTACCTGTGGACTGACCCTACAGGCAGATCCTGTGCTGGATCCAGCCTGTGGACCAACCCTGCATTACTCATCCGGCACACAGGGCTGGATAAGTTGAACACTGCTAGGTTTAGCCTAAATTTCTTCCCCTGTATTTGCTTATACAATCACAGCTAGTCCTTTTGTGCTGTCTCTCTTAAACATAGTTACATTAGTCTCCATTTACTGGATTTCCTCAAATCTAAGATGAGTAATGGCATATTAGCATGGGGGCTCCTCATTTTAAATTGATAGACAGAGCGGATGGGAGCGCATAGGCAGCTTCTGTGGCTCTGACTCTGGCCCTATCCCCTGTTTGGGGCCAGAGTCAGATCCACAGCAGCTGCTTACCCCCTCCTTCCTTTGCCCTGTGCAGCTTTTGCCTCCCCAATCTCCTCCTGCTTTCCTCCTTTCCACAGCCCCTTCCCCCCACCCCCCCCTTACTGTCAGGCACAGTTTGGCTCTGGCTCCGGTTGGAGTCCCTCCCATGCACAGAGTCCAGAGAAACTGTCCCCTGGTTGGCCAGTCAACAATGCGGCCACTGCTGCACGGCCTGGCAAGGGCTGCACTTCAAAGGCTAGGGACAGAAATTACACATAAACCAATATAAGTAATCAGAAACTGGCTTGAATCTGCAATCTAAGAGAAGTTCAGTGCACATAAACCACTTTCCAAATGGCCGAAACCGATTTAAGATAAACCTGGATGGATGTAGTATCAGACTTAACTGACTTAGGGTAAATCAGTTTATTGAACTTCTGTCCCAGATCCCTTCCAAATTCAAGTTAGCTCACAGTCCCCCAGCATCCCAGGATGTTTTGCACCTCCCCTGTAAAGTCCCTCTTGCAGGGTGGGTGGGCTAGCCTTGGCCCAAGCTGCCTGCTCCAGCAGACCAGGGAGGTGTGCACTAGTGCCCCCCAGCTTCTGGCCTGGGCTATTGCAGACATGTGGATGCATTTCTGGAATCAAAAGTGAATGTCTGTTCACTTGCTTATTGGTTCAATCTACGCAGCTTAGACAACCTGCAAAGATTGAATTGATTCAGCCTCTGGCTTTTTGACTGTCTGTACTTAGACCGAGTAATGTGATCCAGGGAGGAAATATAGCCTGAGCAGCATCTTACTGTAAGGGGGTGGGGAGGGGAAAAGGCTGAGATCGAGGACCTGGGAGTAGGGGGGAAACAGATGGCGGGGGGAAGGTTAGGAAGGCTGCAGGAGGAAGAAATGTGAGGGGGCAGAGGGCAAGGGGGCCACCTGCCCTCCCTGCCAACTACCTGACCTGCCCAGCCACTGCTTTCCCTGCTGTAGCAGCGGGGGTGGGGCAGGGAAGGGGGAGGAGATGACAAATTCAAGACAATGTTCCAACAATTAAAATCTATACCTGGAAAATTTTAACAAATTTATAAATTTTCAATATATAGAAGCTAATTCTTGGGGGGTTGTTTTAAATTCAGGGTCATCTTAGATTAGATTAAATACGGTACTATGTTGATCACGAGCTGAAGGCAGATCCAGCCAAAGGAGAATTAGCAGATCTTGTCACATCTTGTTTCACTTACAGTTTTGAGTTGCATCAATGCTGCCAGCTTCACACAGACTGGCAGCAGCTAGGAGCTCAGGAGGTAACACTTAAGGCAATAGTGCTCAACCTTTTGACCCTAGGGGTGCAGCCAGTCTGCGGGCCAGATTGAGCCTCACATGCCAGAATCTGGCCCTGGGACTCAGCACCCCCTACCTTGCCTCAATTGCTGGGAGCAGAGCCTGGGGCCCAGCATCACCCTCTTGTGCAGGCTTTGGTCCCAGGGGGCCTGACACTGCCCCCCTCTCACCCCAGCATGCTAGGATTGGATCCCAGGGACCTGGCAATGCCCCTGCCCTGCTCCTCACACTGGGATTGAGCCCTGGGGCCTGGCACTGCTCCCTTTCAGCCCCTTGCATTCCAGGATTGGACCTGGGGCCTGGCACTGCTTCTGCCAGACCCTGCATGCTGGGACTGGGCACCAGATGTAGCATGCAGGTCCCAGGGCTCCCAACAGGTCTAGAAATTTGGATCAATTGGTTGAATCTAGCCCACAAGCTGGGGGTTGAGCACTCTTGATTTAGGCTACTCAAGACTGTTTCTTTCCCTTATCTGGCTCATGCAGTGGAATCCTGTCACTGCAGTTGAAGGAGGAGGACTCCGAGTTGATGGGAATAAAAGAATTTCATGTTAGGTACCACACACACTGTGGTGGCCAAGCTATGGATAAAATAATCTAGTTCTAACCAATCGTTTACAATTCAGAGTAGTCATTTAGGAATCTTAGCTAGCTACAGAAATGAGAAAGTAGATATGTCCAGAGACTCAAAATCTCCCCCACAGTAGTCCTGAAGTTGCAAACAGGTTTTCACATTAAGGTTTCTAGAAGCCTAACTGTCTTTCCTTTGCCTGTTTTCTGATTTAAGGTGGTAAAACAAGTGTCTGAGAAACTGAAGCTGGGTAGAAAACAGTGTTTGTTTAAGAAAAATGTTGTAGGAAAGTGCGGCTGAGTCCACAAAGTCAGAGGATAAGGGAATATTCTTAGAATTGTTTAACATTGTAAAGGAGAAACTGTCCTGTACATCTTTTTCTTGGAAAATGCAACCAGCAGAATGTATCCAGCTTCTTTGCAGGAAGATCTGGCTGTTGTCCCCAGGAAAGGAAATATTGGCAGACCTCAATCAGAAAGCAAAACCCAGAGAATGATCCCTACAAAAGCTAAGATCAGTAACGATGGAATGAAGAGTGCTGCTGGCTGCACGTTCTGTGTGTAACCCACTCTGATGTGTAAGCCATGAGAAAAGCAAAAAGGGAATTGCTATGCTGGACTACAGCATTGTTCCATCTGTGTTGCCTCTGACAGCACATGCTATCGACTGTCACAAGATGGAAAGAGGGAGTCTATTACTTTTCCTGTTTCTTGTACTGTACTATGCTCTGAATGGTTAGGAGAAAGGATTTATTATCTAAACTGACAGGCCATCAGCTTACATCCTAAAGTGCAAGATTAGGCAAGATTCCAGTACATTTTGCTCTTCTTTCTGCAGGTGATCAAAGCTATAATCATTTTACAGTAGCCCTTCACTTCATTGAGCAGCCACACAAAACAAAGCTGTCTAAACTTTGTAGTTTTAAGGGGATTATTTTACATAGCCTCTCTAAAAATGAGAACTGGGAGTATCAATTAAAATAGCAAAGCACTAATGAGAAAACATATAGGAAATCACAGGATTAAAGAGAGAGAAACTTGAAATACACTCCAGTGAAGAGGAATGTTCTTTGCTAGCCACATCCTGGCTGATACTGAATCAACACATTCCCTCCAAATTACACATTATGAAAATGAAAAACAAAAACCTGTTGCACCAGACGATTTCCAGTTTCCTGTGAGGGATAAATTTATATTCTCTATTCTATATCCAGTTGATGGGAAAATCCTCTGTGACCTAGTGAAATCTTTTCAACAAGACTATCCTCATACCAACTCGCTTTTCAGTTCTGTTCTGGCCATTACCAAGTGTATTGATAGTCTTGCACACAAGTCCTGACTCCCTGCCACAGACATCTCAGTGTGGCTCCTGCATTACCAGGTTAGTCCATCTGGAAGACATTTGGAAGGTTCATGTCCAAGATTCAAGCAGCATTTCATCTAACATCTAACAAACAGTTAATCAGACTTACCAGGTTGCTATCTTTGATTAATAGAGCATCCTGCTTTGCCACAGCATTGTGTGGTTAGAAAGTATGATCTTGTTTTCACGTACCATTAAGGAGCCATCACCAGCATTCGGTATTAAGAAGTGCGGGAGCTCTTATCACCACTCTCATTCTTTCCACTAGTGTGTGGGCCTGAAATTTCCCCTTAGATTAAGATCGCACTTCTTATTCTGCACATAGGTGCATAAATCTGTTTTTCTCAGCTAAGGAAAACTGCTTTAAGTCTCCAAACTAGGAGTGCTCCGGCTGGGTGCACAACGGTGTTGCTTACTCCCCCGTCTATCGTGCTTACCTTGATGTTTTTACTTTGTAGGCATGTGCCACAGGGAAGCTACAACTGTTGGCCAGGTAAGCAGAAGAGAAAAGAGGAGAAAAGAAACTTTGGTTCAGGCATATTTTAGTGGCGGGGGAGCTACAGATCTTCACTCCAGTTCTGTACAACGGGCCATTGGATTGTACCCGTGGTTTCTCCGCTACCTCTTCAAATAGAGGAAACATTCATCAAAGGACAGATAATAATAAGAGTCCACCAACTGAGGTGGAGGGGAAGTGGCTAAGTAGTTCAGGCAAAGCATGCAAACAGAGAGAATGGGTAGGCTTCAATGTACTGGATGCAGCAAGGGTAGTAACAGGCTGAGGGGACGTGCAGCAGGGACACTGAGAAACAAAGAGCACAGCACCTTTGGCCCTGCTCGGCTCCTGCCGGCCTGACGCCCTGGGAACCGCAGCAGTCAGGATGCAGGAATCTGGGGCTTTGTTGCAGGAGCGTGCCTTTTGAAAGCGCCTCAGCCGGGCTGCAGCATGGTCCAAGTCCCTCCCCCAAAGCCCCCCCAAATCTCAGCCTTTTGCTCAGCGCAGCTGTTCTGCCTGGCACGTTTTCCACCCGGAGAGCGCAGGTGGCACGGCCTTGCGCTTGCCTCCCTCGAGGGATTGGCTGGGCTGCCAGGACCCGCAGCCGGCGTGCCCAGATGCCCCCCTGGCAGCAGAGCCGGGCTGTCCCCCGGGCCGGGGCCCCCGGGCGCTGCCAGCTGCACCCAGGCGGCAGGAGGGGGCCGGCACTGACCTGCTTGGGTTCGGAGTAGGTGCCGAGCCCGAGGAGCGGGATGCTGTTGCCGTCGCTCAGGGCCACGCGGTGGCTCTCGGCCGTCAGGCTCATGCTGGCCAGCGGGAGCGGGAGCGGGGCTCGGCGCTGCGGCGTGGTGAAGTAGCAGTGGGGGCGGGGGCGGCGCCTCCCCCGGGCCCGGGG